ATTTACATAACGTGTTCAGTTTATAATGCGAGTGCAACAAAACCAATTGTGACCTCTATCGGAATTACACGAAACACCTAAGAAACCATGGATCCTTCACGATTGACTTAATCTGTATTCCGCCAATTTGTGCTACACCATGACCAACGACACTGTGTTTCACATACCAATACACTTGGGTGAGAAGGTGGCATATGACACAATTGCAAAAGTATGTATTTTGACGCATGAAATAAAGTAGTCCCAAAAGCATCACATCAACGTGCATGTCCCAAGCCCACTTAGAAGTGTATAGATTTTACGCATATATTCAACACAGCAAATAAAGCATTGTCAATCGAAATTACTTGACTTGTATGTGACGAGGAATAATAGTCGCATCAATATAATATCTCTTTTTGTTATTCTGTAGGCTGGCGACCGAGAAGAACCATTGTATTCTGCACATGGGGAGCGGAGGAGTACGGCCTGATTGGATCTAATGAATGGGTCGAAGTACGTAAATTTAGATCAACAAGAAATTTACGTGTTACCTTGTGTATATTGCAAGCCTTCGTAGCATTAAATATTTGATTGTTGAGTCAATGGTAATACCGATGACGTTGTGGACTTGAACAAATCCTTCATCGAAAGATGGTGTACATTAGAGTATCTCAAGAAACAATCAAACGTATTCGACCACAATTCACCCATGTGACACAATAATGTCCAACTTTCCTTCCGTTTCAGGAGAATATGAAGAACTTGGTGTCCCGTGGCGTTGCGTACGTAAATGTCGATTCACCTTTGATGGGTAAGATCTTCTCATACTTTTTTATCCCCATTCTGATTACATAAATTTACGGCATTTGCTTATTGTTTATTTGAATGTTCGGTAATATTGTGTTTTTATGTTTCATGTAGGAGTGCACAGACTATCTGCCGGGGCAACACCTAATCTTAAACAAATTATCTACGCTGCTGCTAAAACGGTAAACATCTTCTTTTTGATTGCATTGGCGCATGCGTGATACAATTATTTATGATATGGTCGTTTTATATATGTGCAGAAATATATTATATATGTTGTTAGTGACGTCAGAGTTTCGACTTATATTTCGCGCATATACATCATAGTCACTGTAACTGCCCGTTCACAACATACTACTTCAATCTGCTATTTTTGGAGCAGGGCGTTATAGGGTAACAGGGGGCGCGTCTGCCTACGGCGACAAGACACATTTGCCGCGGTCGTAAATGTGTAATCTCCGGGTGTAATCCAAGATGGCGTTTTCCCTTTCACTGACCAGTTTTCTTGGCCATTTGGTCAGCCATCCTTTTAACACATCCTTGGAAATGATCGTTCGTCGAACCACACGACGAAATTGGTGACTGTCTGTCTGGCATGTAAGTCACAATATTGTGTAGTTATATATTTTCGATTGGCCGTTTAATGTTGAACTATTCCCTGTAGATTCCTGATGCCTATCCAGAAGGTAGTCGCAAGACAATGTATGACACGTGGACGATGCGAGATAAATCAGCCGGTACTGATGAACCAAGGTGAGTTTTATTCATTTACACACACACACACACACACACATGCATTTTAACCTTAAAATGGTCTTTATTGGTCAAGTGATCTTTATTTAAAACGGGAGGGTCGTCACCTGCGTACGCGTGGGAATTGAGTTCCAAGCGACGATAACAACACACGCTAAAACGCAAAGGCTCATGGGTAGACGCTTGACACGCTATGGCCATCTGACGCATGCGCAGGTGACGACTCCTCCGCTTTAAAGGTTGAATAAATTTTTCAAGGTATGAGGCATCGATCAACGCACGGGGTAGCACAGTTGCCTTATGACACATATATCGTCTCGCTAGCTTGGACCCATAAATACTGTAGGATAGTCTGTAAGAATTATACAACAAAAAAGGATATGCACTGTACGTACTTCATTTGAAAATGAAATGCAAATGTTATTTTTGTAATTTTGAAAATAACCATATTGAACTATCAAAATATATTGTAGAAATAACCTACAAACTAATGAGGTTTAATTGTTTTGTTTTGTTTTGTTTTGTTTTGTTTTGTTATGTTATGTTGTGTTGTGTTGTGTTGTGTTGTGTTGTGTTGTGTTGGGTTGTGTTGTGTTGTGTTGTGTTGTGTTACGTTACGTTACGTTACGTTACGTTACGTTATGTTATGTTATGTTATGTTATGTTATGTTATGTTATGTTATGTTATACAGGTTTAACTGGAATTGTTTCCGTTCTGTTTTTATCGTTGTTTCAGTGTCAGTGATTTGGGTTCTGGAAGTGACTATGCGTCTTTTCTGCACCGCATGGGAATGTCCGCCATAGATATGCGCTATCATTGGGATGACGTAAGTGGTTCAGTTTAACATACGTATACACGTGCAATCAAGAACAAAATAGTGTGACAGTTCCAAGCACGTGCTGATTGCGTGCGTGTCCGGTGTGCTGCTTTGTTTGTTCTCGCTGCGTTCCCTGTGTTAGACACTCTGATCAGCAAATTGTATGAAGCACGTGCAATTGAGTAAATTGTATGAAGCACGTGCAATTGAGTAAATTGTATGAAGCACGTGCAATTGAGTAAATTGTATGAAGCACGTGCAATTGAGTAAATTGTATGAAGCACGTGCAATTGAGTAAATTGTATGAAGCACGTGCAATTGAGTAAATTGAGTTGTCATCGAAATTAGACATGGAAGTAATTTTCAAAACACGCAGACGATATTCATAGCTTGTATGTATTACATTCGTTCCCAGTGTCGCGGCGTACATCCAACGCACACGCTCTTTGTCCATGGTTGTATATGTCGATTTATTTCATTTTTATCTCATTGAATACAGCTATCTTGCAACGTGATTGTGTGATTTTTGTTTCAGACTCAATATGATTTCTCAATATACCCAATGTATCACTCGGTATACGAGACTTACCATCTGGTGGAAACGTACTATGACCCAGAATTCAAGTACCTGCAGGCTATGGCCCGTTTATGGGCTGAAATAGGCAGACGATTAGCAGATTTGTTAATTATACCCATGGACGCACGTGACTATGGAAGCAGAATTAAGACGATGTTTGAACACTTCAAGGATAGTGAAAGCGGACAGAAAATTCGTAACAGAGGATTGTCGATGGGTAAGTAATCTTTGATTGACGATAGGCGCAAGACTGTTGTTATTGGAGATCTTCGCCAGCCAAAGTCCATTTATTCGCTTTAGTCTCAGCCACAAGGGGACTGTGTCTCAACATTATACCTTGACAGAATTCCAACTCTGCGAAGATTAGAAAATTTAGCGCCCTCTGTACACGGTTTTGCAGCGCTTAACGCCCGTGACTTCAAAACCATATATAATAGGCGTTTCATTTTCTAACCGACTTCTAGTATGGTAAGAAGTAGCAACAAATTTTCAATTTAGTGTCTATTTTTTGCGCGTATATTTCATTTCACGACGAACGAAGTTTCCCGTCGTCCCTAAATGGCGTGTAGTCGAAGCGACAGGAATTCTATGAAAAACCAGCCTAGAAAGGATTTCATGTGTTTCATCTGCCGAGAAAAATGAAAATAAGCAAGATAAACTCTCCAAAATGGTGATATAAAACCAATGTTCGCTAGTTTCAGTTGTTAGTTGACGATACAGTGCTTAATGACACCAGTGATAGGGTGGACTCGACATTTTTAATCTTGCATATGATAATTATTTTTTGAAATGAATGTGAAAAAAATCTCTGATTCAGAGTCATAGATATAACACGCTAAATCTCGCAAGATCATAACGTCGTCGAATTTATATAACATTATTATTATATCAAAGATATATGAGATATGGAAATTAATAATATGTGAAATTATAGGTTATATGGTGGTGATTAGTTGCCAAGTATGCCACTTAATCTATCACGGGTGCGTCATTATGGGTTATTGTTATTTGTGGTTATTTTGATGGCAGTTTGAACTGAATCAAAAAATGTTGACGGGAGATTCGTGTGTCATTGTTTACAAACAAGCATCTACCCACCAGTCTTTCGTTTTTAGCATGTGTAGTTGTTTTTATCGTCGTCTGGGACTCAATTCCCGCTTTAAACTTGTCCCTTGGCAAACATGCTATGCATTTTTTCGGAGATAATTCTCCATGATTTTGTATAGTGGAAACAAATTATCACACACTGGACACTCGCTAGATTTTACCATTGTTTGAATTTCACCATTGTTCGGTGATCCATTGGCGTTAACCCATGTTATTCATGGAAGCATGAAGAATGTACCTCGCGATTTATCGCGATTTCTTTATTTAGCTAGAAAACAAATACACACTAATCTAATGGAACATTTGTGTGTGGCTTTTACAGACTCATCATTTATAAACATGTAAATATCTATGTTTGCCATCCATCTTTATTTAATTAAAAGCAAAAATATGCATCTTTACACGTTTTAACCATAATAGACAGATTCGAAGATGCAGTGGATACATTCAATGAAGCCACACAGTCATTCCACAACGAAGTTACTGATGTGAACAAACAAGAGTGAGTTTATTTCAAATTTTATTAAATCAAAAATCTGTTTTGTTAAATTTTACATCGTTATCCGCGAAACAGATCACATGTATCTTGAATAGCAAGTATTCAAGTATTTAATGTATGTATTTATGCCGAATTGTGTATGTAATTATATGACAGTCCAATGGAGATTCGGAGGATAAATGACAAACTTATGATGCTGGAACGAGGATTTATTGACCCCCTAGGATTGCCTGGCAGAGTACTGACGAGGTAAGAGGTTCGTTATTTGTTTATAAACTTAGCATGGACATTCAGCAGTATGTTATTCACAAATCAACGTTGTCTCGTCTCAACGTTGTTATTGATTTCCCTGCATTGTTGTCATTACTGGTAAATGTATGACAAGGTGTTTTTTTCTCGAACGCTCCCCTAATTTTCTCAAAATAAATTGAATCATGGACGTTATTAGGTCACTTGGGCAGTCATAATCACTCCTTTTTCACTTTTTGAATCGCATATTTGCTAACTAAACTATCACGTTTTATCATTTCTCCACCAACCAACCAAGGCATGTGATATTTGCACCGAGTAGCAAGGACATGTACGCCAGCGCTGGTTTTCCCGGTCTGGTTGATGCTATGTTCGACATTGACAACTCCAGCGATCCGACGAAACAATGGAGGGAAGTTGAGCGAGAGATCGCCGTGATTACTCATCATTTATATTCAGCGGCAACCACGCTTACAGATGAGATAACCTCACTCACAAGAACAGAGCTCTAAACAGTATTTTTATAGTCTTATTTTCCGTAAGCTAATGCTACGTAGTTGTACTTTTATACCCGATAGCCTCGCTCTGGTGCCATAACATATAATATGGCATTCCCATTATGTGTTTCATGTGTCATTATTATAGTGTTCTATTGTTTGTTTGTTTTTAGTTGCTTTTTTTAAGTTATAGTTAAGATGATTTTGGTGTCTGACTAATAATTAGTTAATTTTAGTTTATTAGGAAATCATTTTTTAAATGAAGAGCAATTATGTGATCGTTGTCATGTAGATTATTTTAAAAATTGTAAAAAGTGTTTTGAGAGTGGAAATAACAGACACAAAATGCAATATTTGTGTTATAAGTGATTACTCTTTATGCGATGACGCTGTGTGCTAATTGATTTTTATTTTTCAGTTTCATGTCTGTCCATTAGTTTTTGTGTCGGTGCCTTTAAAGCGAGACATACGTTCACGTAAGACATGTCATGTGTAATGTGAAAAGTTACTAAGTCACGTGGTTTATTTTTTTGTTTTCATTTTTGCGAATCATGTTATTAAAAACTATGATCGAATTAAATAATATAAAATGCAATGCAATTTGTTTTATTTTTAATTACGCCACGTTGCTATAGGGACTCCAATGAAAGGCATATTCGCCCTGTGTAAACGTTCTATGCGTTGTTTATTACACGTTTACATACTACGTCAATCAATTTATATATGTTCCTGTCAACCTTTTTCTCATTCACTGAACGAAGGAGAGATTCTTTTTCACTTCACTAGAGACCTGGCAAATAAAGTATTACTCTGGCCGAAACAAATCCTTGGTCAACAGCCTAAATAATTCAAATTATATGTTTTTATTTGTAGCATTATTCATGGTGAATTCTCAGAATATTTAAAACCGAATGTTACCCTGCACGTGCAAATACGCTGTCTCAGGTCATCGGAAAGTGCTCCATTAAAACATAGATAGTTTGGTATTCGGCTTCTCCACTCTAGAGAATGATTAACACAATCTCTAAGGGTCCTGGGGTTGTTGTAACATATATTGATGATGTAGTAGTATACAGTATTTTTTGGGTGCATCACAAACCCAGGTACGGGCTCTCTTTGATTCTGTGATGGTTTGGAAGAAGAATGTCTGAGTGAGTTTGCACAAACTCAGGTTGTATATTTAGAAGTTAATTCATGGAGGCAAAGGTTTTATCCATGGTTCCTTTCCCCTCTCCTGAATCTAGGAGTAGTTTGATGCTTTCCTTGGGAGTGGTTGAATTCAACACAAACTTTTCAACTATTGATGATTTTCAAGCACCATTCCAGATTGGTTCTTCGGGCTCCTAAATGTAATAGGTCCTTTAAATTAGCTGATGATGCTAGTGATGTAGCAATAGGAATGGTCTTATTACAAGAAGACCATCTTGGTATGGATCACCCCGATTCTAAAAAAGTTAAATACTTTAAGCATCAGAAATAATATTCAACTATAGAAAAGGTAGAATCGGCTCATACTGATTGGTCATAATTGATTCTTAGATTAAGTTTAATTCTTCAGGAATACGACGTAGATATTAAATGTAATGATAATATGATTGCGGATATGTTATCCAGAGAAAATGTGTCAAGATTCTTCTATAGAAGTTTATTCTTCTTTAGAAGTTTATTTTTTTTCTATAGAGATTTATTACTATTTGTGTTTTATCTAATAATTTAAAAGTTGAGTGTAAATAACGATTTAGACGACCACTGAATGCGTGTACTGTGCATGTCAATCCAGTATAAGCACTTGCATCAACTCAAAAACAAAATAGTAGCTTTAGGCACACACTCAAGCAAATTAGAAGGAGATATATCCGAGATTTTGACTCAAAGATTTGTACGAGGATACAAATTAATAAATCAAGTGATTATAAGGGCAATCCTAGCAGAACGAATCGCAAATATATGTAATGTCCTTAGCAACAATTACACATGTGGTTAGAAGTGAAAACGGAATGACCTATTTATAGTAAACAACGGTGCAATTGAAACTGTTTCCAGCGTCTTGCCAGTTATTTCATTTATTATCATTATCAATTCAATAACGTTGAACCCGAACCGTGTAAGGCATTAATATTGAAATTGGTGCCGATTCATTTAGTTGTTGATTTCATCATATAATGTCTTTTTAATTATATAATCTGAGGGTTAACCTTGGAGCCACCTGAAGGGGATAACAGATCCTGATTTATTTGTTTGTAAGTCTTGTCCTAGGTGTGCTCCGTGAATAACGTTATACACCGTACATTGGGTCTATGTCATAAATACTGTGTGTGTTTTTATTTTTGTGAATTTTCGACCAGTATAGTTATTTAAATTGTCATTTTGCATTCTTGGTCGAGTCAACAGTGACTACATGTATAATAACCTGCTGTCGTTGAATTAATTAGTTGTAGCATTGGTGACGATGGCGACGATTATTAAGATGGAAAGTTCAATGAAGACGCTGATTGTCACGAGATATTGTCCCCACATGATTCTAGTTTACAAGTATTTTAAAGTTTTATTGAGTTTTCAGGAAGTTTATGAGTACGAACTATAATGGGAAAGCTCCACGTGATCTTAAGGGGTTTTCAGATTTGTCAGTTATGCGTAGTTTTTAAAATATGTCATTTATAATATATACTGATTTTGGACAACTTGATTTAACAGTTTTAATATTTCACTGAAACACAAGTATATTAACATACGTCGCCTAGAACCATGAATAAACACGAAAACCTTTTTTAATACTGATTAACATAAAATTACCAAGTCATTAATTTCTATAACAATTATGAGATTATAATAGAACATCAGCTTCGAGTCAAAGACCACCTTCACATATTCCAAATTACATTCTGTCATGCATTACATGACAAGTGTTTATTCTAGAAAGGTAGTAGGGGAAATATGAATTCGGTAATTGTGTCCAATAAAATGAAGAATGAAGACAGAATATCGCTTGCTCGTGGGACATTCTCAGATCTACTATCAGATCATGTGACCTCTTACTTCCGCATTGTAGTAGTGGTAATGTAAAATATACCGATCAATATAGACATATATGTTTATAAAAAAATATTGTACAATTTTGTAAGACTTGCTACTATGATATTCAAGACCTAGAAACTACGTAATCTGTCTATCGCTGGCAGCGATTGGTGGATAACGTGTTCTTTTGCACACGCTATCAATTCTGGAGTCATGGCTTGATTTTACCATGTCAGTTTAATAAGAGGCAGTATATTACATCTGGTATGTACATTGGTACAATGTGGTACATGAATATTGCAGATAAATTCAAGTTTAGATATATATTCTGCCATATTCATTAAATCGTACAGGACCACTAAGTTTACATTTGCGTGAATAAGTTGCTACAGTGTGTTTGATTTTGCCAAAATATTTGCTAAGATCGATTGACCACAATTGTTTTAATCTTTATTTGAACAATTTATCAAAATGTAACCACCTGTTGCAACAAGTTATTTTCAGCGTATTTGCGTTCATGTGTCTTTGTCCATCAAAATTCGACCGAATTCGTCGTCTTTGTGTGGAAAAATCTCTTAAATACGAACACCTAATTATACGAAGAACATAGAACACTTTCCCGGGGTATTTTAAACCGAAATTGTCATCTAATTGTAAGGCCGTCGCTGATTGGCTGCAGAGCTGGAATGAAAATGTTTGGTTTCAAATATCCCAGGAAAGTGTTCTATGTTCTTCGTGTAATTAGGTGTTTGTATGTAAGGGATTTTTCCACACAAAAACGACGCATTCGGCCGAATTTTGTTATCGGTTGGCTTAATATTACCCCCAACGGATTGTATTTCTGTGAAAGGTTTGCATTTTTGTCCTGATTTGTAGGAATCTGAAAAACGCGTTTCATAACTTGTCTCTTAGTTTTATGCCGCATTCAAGATGGCGGTTTCCATATAGTAAATCTCGCATTTATTTTATTATCACGTGTGCGCCAGCTGATTGCGGTATGACTGTACCATTTGGTCTAGCGGCCTTAAGTCGATTAATATTGATGAAATGCCACAAGAAAGACTTTAAACCATTGCCAAGGCAAATCTATTGATCGATTTCTAACGCCATTGACCGGCTTGGAATTTCTTCATTGCGATGTGCGTTTTCAGCTGTGTTCTCAAAACAGGCATGATGTTACGGCTTTGAAGCTGAGACATTACCAATCATAGCAGCAATGTGACGTATCATACACCGAAATCTGACCCTGGCCTTGATCGACAGTTTCTAAAACGATATGAAGAACTAAAATATCAAGTTCTCCAATGGCAACACTGCTAAAATGAAAATCGAGTCTACTCAAATTGTATGATTCTTTTGTCTCTCTAAAAGTGCATTGTATTATAATTCACTACAAATCTTGGATTCTGATTGGTCAACATTATTGTCAAGCGGGGCAGTGTGGTATTACTTCCAAAAGCGAATACAAGTTAATGTGGTATTGTCGATCGTTCAGCATATCTGGGGGGGGGTATATTAGTGCACCATAGCGAATGCTGTAAGACATCGTGGAAGACGTAAGGTTGACACGTGTAACCTCTGACACCTCTGATAAACTGAACAAGGCTGGGGGTCACCGTTCATTACCGCCTTGACCCCCTTAAACAAGTCCAAGTCCCGTTATTATATGACTGAAATGTGTGAACCACGCATTACAATAACATGCCATCACGCCATGTAACACACAATATACAACTTTCATGCAGTGGAGTGAACAGGTTTATTTAGTAACTATAGAGATTAGAAATATATATATATATATATATATATATATATATATATATAATTGAGTGACGACTGATAATGCAATCGCAGAATTTGTGTCTTCCCACATTGATGTATTTCTAGTATCTTGTCGGCAATTCATTTATGAGTTCCAGATGTTTTAGACCTGAAATAAATTGTGAAAAACAAACAAAAAAAATATTTATTTAATGGGCCTTAAGCATATCCTAAAGGTCGGACATATGGGCAATATCTAGAGATACCTTTTTATAACATATTAAACTTGTTTTCAAACTTTAATAATAGTTGCTTATATTAACTGAATTCTACGGTGGCTTGTTAAGGCCATGCACTGTTTTTCGAATTACTCACATT